AGTTCGACTAGTAAAGTTTATTGTGGTGTTTTTTGACATGGAGTTCTTGTACACTAATATTCCTTTGTTATTAAAAATTATAACATTTCAAACGAGTTATTTATTCCAAAATCCGCATTTTTAAATTGATAAATTCTGCAATTAAAGAATCGTGCTTTCTGTTTAATGATAATCTTTATGACCAGATTGATGGTGTACTTTAGGGTTCCACTTGACTCTTATAGCTAACCCTTTCCTTTGTTTTCATGAAAAACATGGTTGGATAATTGTTCACCTTCTTTTAAACCACTATATTACCGAAGGAACGTCGGTGATTCTTTTACTATTTTCAAGGATCCAAATCCTGTTCCTCATTTTCTGGACTATTTTACAGTAAACATAAAAGTATTATATTAACTGTTAAACATCAGCAACATTATAAACTTGCATGTTTGGGTATATTAATATATTATTCTGTTAGTAGCTTTGAATGTGGAGTTTACCAGAAGAAAACGTTTACTGGCCTCTATTTTAATTTTATAGTTTTGTTACCAATTGCAAAAAAAAACAAGTGAAGATGATAGTACATCGTCGATATAAAATCTAAAGTACTTACGAATTTATTCACAAAGAATTATCCAACGTTAGAAATTTTCTATGCAAAAATTACATTCCTATTTATCTGATTAATCGATCAATTCGTAATTATTTTAAAACCTATCGTAAGGGGCAAATTTGGTAACATTTTGTACCAAAGGTAGAATCACCAAAAATCGATCTTGGAATTCGATTGCGGAAATAATACTAAATGAAAGTACTAACGATGAGGATTTCACAGTTTTTTAAAGACCAGTATATTATCAGCAGTATATAGTTTTGACCTTGAATTCTTGTACACTAATATTCCCTGAAAAAAAGTACAGTTAAATGCAGACTTACTTTTTCAATGACAATTTAAACAAGCTATGCATTTCAAAATTTGCATTTGGAAGTTAACAAAGTCTGCAACTAAAGAATCGTACTTTCTGTTTAATGGTAGTAAAGATCAATGTATCAATGAATATTAGTTACATGTTATGAATGTTAGATAATTAGCACTGCAGTTGTAGACAGCCTCCTTCGGAATGCGTTTACAAGCTACTATATCAGGCTAAAGCATCAGATAGTCATTTTGTAGTGAAATACATACTGAAGCTAATATCACCCTTCTTTGGATAGGTTTGTTTGGTTTTCTTGGAATTTCGCGCAAAGCTACACGAGGGCTATCTGTGCTAGCCGTCCCTAATTTAGCAGTGAAAGTTTAGAGGGAAGGCAGCTAGTCATCACCACCCACCGCCAACTCTTAGGCTACTCTTTTACCAACGAATAATGGGATTGACCGTCACCTTATAACGCTCTAACGGCTGAAAGGACGAGCATGTTTGGTGGAACGAGGATTCGAACCCGCGCTTTGGAAAGGATTCTTCGGAAGTTTCGATTGAATTTCACTTATATTTTTCTTTAACTTGTTACTGGATGTGATTTCTTTGGTTTCTCTGCTATCTTTTATAACTTGTTTTCCTATGTTAAGCAATAATTGGTTTGCACCATCAGGTAAGATAATAGCGCATATTTTCGTTAGTACTGAAATGCTGAAGATAATTATGCGACTTAATTTATTAATAAATTTAAAGGATTCACTTTCACATGATTTTCGACTTGGTAAATTTATCGTCAAAGAAGCTTCTGTTCCGAAAACATCTCTAATATTATATACATTTTTACATTCTTTCATTACGTATTCACTTTCTTTGTCTTCATCACCTCTGTCATCTCTATCCATGAGTGTCTGCAAGGGGGGCACTCCCCCTGGATATTCTAATTCAAATTTAAAGGATAACACAAAAGAAAAAAGAAAATTCTTATGTTTCCCTAGTTATAGCTTTGATATCATTTGTCATCTTGCCCCCATCTATAATATATCCTGAGGACGCCCATCTCACTATCTTCAACTAAGGCCAAAACGTCATTACTAATAAATAAATAATATCCATATCGTCATTTTCATCATATACAACTTCATCATTGATATTCACAATATTCTCACTGTAATTTTGCCGTTTTCGTTTTCTTATATCGTTTGTTGCATTATTAGCACTTGCCAATACACTCTGTAGCTGCTTTCCCCCCCACGTCTCCTACTCAATTTAACAGAAACTGGTAATGCACCGCACTCATAGCCACAGAGAGAGTATGCTAAACATTTTGAATGTCTAGGTCAGATACATTTGCAAGGCATAGGTTCCATTTTGAAATGGAATTGCAGTTTTGTCGACAGTCGTAGAAGCAGTCGTCAGCAATTTCAATCCACTGATATGGAGTAGACAGTGGTCTATTGAAGCTAAAATAGTCTAAATCGTCTTTTTTTTGCCAATTATATTTCTTAAAAAAGGAAACCGAAAAACCTATTTCCACAATAGGTAATTTTTTCTCACCAACATGAGCTTACCCAGTTTGCAGATACGAGCGATGTTAACAAATAGAAAAAACTCCAGTAAAGTTCTAAATAGCCAGCTTATATAATCCTGTCATATACTGTAAAGTATTATTTCTATGTTCAAAAACTAACCACCCGCCTTACTTCATATAAAGTATACTGACAAGAACAACGCGATATTTTTTAAAACCTGGATTTTGTCTGCAGGATCTCTTCACATCAAATGTAGTTTATCAATTTGCAAGCAAGTTTACATCGGTTCTACAACAAGAAAAATACTGACGGGAGTGAAAGAACGTGTAGACTTAAAAACGTCAAATAGATCTTGTGTACTGAAACACGCCCTAGGTAAGTGTTACGCATCGCCCATTTAAATTATGTTAAGATCACAGCAAGGTCCAATGATGAACATAGCCTCCATA